TCTCTTTAACTTACCTCTGAGCAGCATTACAATGAAATGCAGAGTATGGAGACGCAACATGTTTGTTCTCCCCCTGTGAGAAACTTCCATCTTACTGGGTGGCACGGAAGGGCAGTGAAAGTGAAAAGGGATCCCTTTGCGCGCGGAGAGATGATCACAAAATTGCGCGATTAAGTTCCAGTATCGCTCTCGGAGGATATACAGAAGCATTCATCATAATGTTCTTCACTTCACACCGGGGTCGGTTTACTTTACTTCAGGTCAAAAAGACTTGAGAGTCCGAGCATCCCGTCACGCATTAGATGGGATTTATAGGCTCTGTCAAGATCCCGAAGGATGCCACTGTGTCTCCTCGTTACGCGACAGATCCTTCACAAATATTGTGCTTTTCTCACATCCGAAGTATGTTCCCATGCGTCGCTGAGTCCAACTGCTCAGTCTGCGGTATTGTGGCGTTTGGTAGCAGCGAGTGAATTTAATTTCGGTTCCTTGGTTACTTTTGTCTTTCTAGTAAAGTCTGGCGGGTTGGGTGGCGTTGCTGTGGGATTTTTCCCTCTGATGCGTGATGCGTAAGGCAGGATCTGTGTTTCCTCTGCATCCGCTCTCACATCCTCTAATGCGGAATCATCCTGCACATCCTACAAGTTGCTCAAGCGCACGATTGCACCATATGCGCTTTCCATATCCTCGGTGTCGCTCAGAATAACCTGCAGAGATGAAGAATAACACTTGGCTGGTTTCCTTCCTCAGGAGATGATGTTAGAAAAAAAGACGACAAGCTTCATCTGATATTCACGAGCGCATAAAAGAAAACAAATACCATCAGCAAATGTGTGCTTAGAAATAAGTGCATGAGGGTTTGAAGAGGTTTTTCTGCGCCATCCTCTCCTCTCCACTCCAGCGCAGACACTGGCAAGTCCAAACTGAGGTGCAGGGTTAAAGCGTCACCTGAAGCGCCAACATTCACATCAAGGGCTCCCCGCAGACTTCTGTGCAAATAAGCTTTACCTGAACAACACAGTATATCATAGCATATTTCAGATTCTTAATAGACTGCAAAACGTATGCGTTTACTAGAGCAATCGAAAGAATTTTGCCCTTAGAAAAAAAAAAAAAAATGTTGGAGACACAAATGGAAAAAGTTATTGGTAGTTTATGGCTGTCTGTGTGCCCAAGTATGAAAGTAAGTAAACATTAATGTGGCATGGCAGAAGTTCATTTACACCGTTTTGACGATAATTATAAGTGGCAATAAATATGGTCATTTATAATCTAATTTTAATCACTGCAAAGCAACAGCGACCCCTTGTGGGCACAATGTTCATATACGTGTGTGGGTGAGGTTTTACTCATATTTAGGAGAGCATATGTCCAATTAAAAATTGTCAAATCTGGAATGACCTAAATATGGAGACCAGCCAACAGTCTGAGAGGAAAAAGTCTTAATAAACATAATAAATGTCTTAATTCAAAACTAAAGGTGCAACAATATCAGTGTGAGGGTTAGAGAAGTTATGGAGTCTATTCATTCTGTGTAAAAACAATGGAAGTTGACGGAAAGTCCACATCACCGTGCAAAACTGTAAAAATGAGAGGCAGACAAAGTTGAATAAAACAAAGATTATTGCAGTGTGTTTAAAAAGATATAATTTCTGTCCTAATTTAAAAAAAAATCACTCTTGATTCAATGTGTTAATTGCCGTCTCTGTCATTAGTTTTAACATTTTCTGAGTGAAAATAGTTTCTACGCTGATTTTTTTGTTCAGTGTACAGAAGGAGACAAAGACACAATTGTGACGGATGATCTAAACAGATGACAGGCTTATATTTGTAGTTTATTCCAAAGCAAGCTGCTTACATTTATTCTCTAATGTCTAATTCTGAAACTAATTTTGCATTCTGGAAGTCATTGCATTGTGTGCTACTGTCATGCAAACAGCAATTTACAAGGATTGATCAGTTTCATATGCAATGCATATAAGTCTTAGGCTTTGTTGGTAGGCCATTGCAGAATGTTTTTGTACTTAGGTTGCATTTCAAGACAGGTTTTATCAGACTCATTGGGTTTGTTATAAAAAGCATCCATCAGGGCTGTCAGATAAAACTGTCGAATACTGAGTTAATGTTCATGCATCAATCAAACAACTCCTCCGCATTGCAGCTTGAGTACAATGCGGTTAACAAAATCATTGGACATTACACAAAATTCCTCGTTTTCCATGTCTTTAAATCATATCTAAATAGATGCTTCTGCAATAACAGATGTTCGGTTTCTAGACACTGATCACAAGAGGCAATACTACACATCTGAAATAGACATAGCCTACTTAAGAGAGATGATTGCCTCTGAAAGGAAGAGAAAGAGAAACAATTGCATCTTCAACAAGCTACTCAACAGATTTCTATATGTGTAATATTCCTTTAGCTGCCACTTCGCCATTTGTCCTAAACCTTTTTGAAAAAGAAAGAAGCACAGAAATAGACAGTCCTGACAAGATACCCCACTTTCCTGCCATCACAGCATCATCACGTCCTTTGAGAACCCTTGAACGCAGGCTAAACGTGGGCTCACACACATTGAGATCAGATTACATCTATAAGCATGTCTATCTTATGCTTAATTAAGTTAGTGAGCATCGCGCTTGAATCCTAATGAGAATGCTCTCCCACATTACCGAATGATAGAAAAGAAAGCTAGCAGTCGGCCCGATTAGAAAAGAGAGAGGAGAAAAAACGATTGAATACTAAATGCAATTATAATCAGCTGCCTCATCTACAATCAGGCTTTCATGTAAGTCTTTTGCGCCTCCATTTGTTGATGAGGGCCTTTGATGTCTCGCGACTCGCAAAACAGATGAGAGGCGGGAAAAGGGGATTGGGGATCAACAGGTTGGGTTAAATGAACAGCGGTGTTATTTACTAAATAGCGTGCTGCAGGATCCCTCGGAACAGAAATGTTTTATGCTAAAGTTGCCTCGACTTCATTAGAGCTGAAATGAACAGACGTCTAAAGTGTGACTGCACTGAAAATAGTCGAAGCTGCTTTAAGCTGGTCTTGGCTGGTTTAAGGTAGTCTTAGCTTGGCCAAGACGGTTTTAAGATAGCTAGTCTAAAAAGCCTGACCAGCTGTAACATTCCCAAAACTCCTTTGAAACCACAGTCAGCAGATCAGACTGAACACTGAACAGACAAATGCAGATAATGTAACATTTAGTGTGAGTGTCAATATATATATATATATATATATATATATATATATATATGTGTGTGTGTGTGTGTGTGTGTGTGTCTGTTAATATTATTTAATGGACCAGAGCTCACAAGAACGAATTTTTTAAATATTGATAAATACTGTAACAAATGTAATGCTCATTGTTAGTTAATGTTTGTTAATGCCCTAACATTTCCTAATGGGGCCTTATTGTAAAGTGTTACCACAAAGAAATTTAAAGTATTATAAAATGTTCCAAAACGTTTTTGTAGATTTAAAAAATATGCTTAAAATTAATGTTATTCTATTAACAAAAACTAATGTTAAACTGATTATTATTATTCATTTTTTCTATTAAATAAAAAAAAATTTGAACTCCACTGACTTTCACAGTATGGCCCAAAAACACTGGAGGCATGGAAAATATCTTCTTTTGTGTTTCACACAAGAAAGTCATACAGGTTTAGAACAATATGAGTGTAAGTAAATAATGACAGAATTTTCATTTTTGGGTGAACTATCCCTTTAAATATGGATATCCACCAACATTAATTATTAAAAAATATATATATATTTGATTAAAATAAATGCCACATGTGTTAGTTATTGCTATTATTATATTCATACAGTTATACATGTGGCTTACATATTCGAATAGTTTTTGGGGCGGCTGTATGTTGAAAATGCAGTATCTTTACAGAATTAAAATTGTTTTAACATTAAGTTCTAATATTAAGTTGCTATACATCATAATCTGCAATAGAAAAAAAAGGAAATTCAATTTAAAGTGAACTTCAAACATGCCTTTTAAACAACTGGAAGAATTATTTAGATAAAATTGGAGAACAAAAAATAAATGCATTCACTCCAACAGTAATAGGATTTGAAATGGATTTTTCAGAGAACAAACAGAGGATATGGATTCAATTTTGGCTGTTTAGCATTGTGCTATTATTTCACACTTTTGGGAAAAGGCGAATGCACAAAGGCTTGAGCACACAGGAGGCCTGATCTGTAAAGAAATAAGAGCTTAAATGTTTACTGAAATGCGCATGCACACATACAGACACACAAACACCGCTATCTCCTGCTGAGAATGCTGGGAGTCAGAGATTAAGTTCTCCTCAGATGTGGCATTATTCTGCCATCATCCATTCAAACTTGAGTCACTGTCTTGAGCTGTCTAAAGACAATTATAAATCCCCATTGATTACATTATATTCCCCTTGGAGCCATCTACTGTAAATGGCTGATATTCACTCACGTCTAGATCACTTTTCCACTACCACTTATTCTCAAATCCACCTAATGTTCTGTTCTGTCTTCATATGTGAGCTATTATACATATGAACTGTGGAGGTCAGAGTGCACTCGTTCATGGGTCTTAGATCAGCTGTTAAGCTCATCAGACTGTTGTATGGGAATGGGAATACCGCATGAGATCAGAGGAGAGGCCATGTCCTCAGGTTGTCAGTCAGAGCATGTTGTGCCAGACTAGAAACAGCAAGGTTTAAAAGATTCCCGCTATTCCTGAAGGTTGATTCAAGAGGTACAGAGCAAGGGAATACAAATGTACAATACAAACAATTTTCAGTTCAGTATGACATGAGAGTGGAACTATACTTAAATGAGATCTGCCAAATATAGCTATATGATAATGACATACGCATGCAAGCACACCAGAGACCGGGCCGCTGCTTCTTGAGTTACACGGGCCCCTAGGTGTGGGTCGCCACAAGAAAAGACCCTATCCAGACAGCTGCTGAAGATATTAACTCTATTCTGTTACGACAGAGCCCCTTTTGTTCTGTGTTAACATGTTTTTGACATAGCTGACATTTACATTGGCAGCTACGGAGTGTCTGGACCATGTTTTGGACCATATTGAGGAAAACTGAGAGGTGAAGTTTGCTGGAGGTACAGTACACATGAGCTTTTTATCGAACGCAATGTCATTTGTCACGGACGACAGTTTTGTTGCATGTTCAACTCTCTGGCAGAACATTGAAAAATTGATAGTCTTTTGCAGTTCTTAGATTCATATCTTAAAGGTAATATTGCAGCGTCTGGAATTTCAATATTCTAGAGTCTAGACCAAAAGTTGCTTAAAATATTAGGTAGGCTTTGCATGTTCATTCTAGAGGCTAGAACTTCACCAGGATGTAGATCATACAAGAGGTGATTTCATAACAGTTGCACCACTTTATAATGTGCAGTATTTCAGGGAAAAGCACTGATATAAAATTTTGCCAATAATTAATTATGTTACAGCTGATAACCAATAAAGTAAAGGATTACATTCCAAACTGTTTTGTCTAAATAAAAGAAATGAATAAAACAATAAACTACAACCAGTAGTTTGAAATGATTATATATGATATATGCAATTATTGCAATATCAACCAATACAATAAATAAAAAAAATATGCACACCTGAATATAAGACATTTTTCACTTCCAACCTTCATGAATAATTATATATAGTAGTTATTAAGATTGATGTAGTTTGGAATGGGTAAAATGTGCTTGGAAAAAAATATGATCAGAATATCAACTTGCATAATAATTATGCATGCACTGTATTTTTCCTCTTCTGCTGTCAAGGTAATGCAAGAAATGTTGTGATTGGTTGTCAAGGCAGCC